TCCAGAGCTACCCAGAAGATGCCAGGCAGCAGCCAGCTAATAGGAGAATTGCTTAGGCTCTGGGAGCCTGAGGAAAGAGACAAAGATCAGGAAGTGCAGTTCCAGAGCCTCATTCTGTTTTCTCCTCATGGGGAATACAGGCCCTGGTGGGAGTATTCTGGCTTCAGGAACCAACAATTAGTCCCATTCCAGATCTTCTTTTCTGATGATTAGAACTAATTTCCTGCTCCTAACAAGTTAATTTCCCTGCTTCCCCTACTGGTCCAGTAGTATTCTTTGACTTCTAAATGTGCCGTGAGTACCAAGGGGCATCCCTGCCCTCCTCCACCTCCTTTTTATTTGCCATTGTTAGTTCTGAGGCTCAGGCAGTGCTGCTTGCCCTGGTAGGTCCAGAATGCGGCATTTGTTCTGCAAAGGCAGAATGATGAAAGGAACTCGGGCTTGGCAATGATGGCAAACCTAATTCAAGCCATTCTATTATTATTATGGTTTGTAGTGCTGGGGTTGGGGGAGGAGACTGTGTCAGTGCTATCTTTCTCAAGGGAACCATCTGAACCCTACTTCTGTAACTTCAGAGCATGGGGGCCCCCATCTCCCCACATTAGGGATCCATCTGTTATTCAGCACCCACTGTCTTAGGAGTTTAATTTGACATCTCTGACAAATGCCATGAATCATTTGTCCCTATCGTCATAATGTCTGGGGATAGGAAAACAAAAATTGGCTCAGCTGGTTTCAGCAACTATCCAAAAGAAGGAGTACTCTTCTTTGCTCTTGTCTCTGTCTTATTTTGGCTCAGCCCTTCTGAGTGAGAGAACCCTATTCAATATACTTCTCTTTTCTTTGTTCTAGTTAAATCTAGACCTGATGCATGAACATTTAAAAAAAAATTGCATTTAAATTGTTGACTCTGGTGCCCTCTGCTGACTAAATATTTAACTTTCAACTCCAGCCTGGGTAAGGACCAAGACATTTATTTGCATCTGTCCTTTGTTCTTTTCTATAGGATCAATAGAAAATAAATTAAAAGTCACAGTACTTCTGCACACCCTTTTCAATGGTGGTTATTATTGTTTTTGCTTGCTTGTTTGAAAGCAACTATTTTTGCATGATCTGAAGACTCACTCAGAACTAGCTGCTTTTCCCTCTTGGAAGGCATCCCCTTCAGATTATTTCATGTTGGCTGAAGAATTTTCAATCAGAAAAAAAAAATGTATAGCACTAGAGCCAGCAGATTGAATCTCTCTAACAGGGAGCAGCTAACGAAATGTCAATGGCTAAATAGATGTCAAGGCAATTCAATTTGCTAGAGTTTCTGACTAACCACCTGGAACTTTTCTTTCACCTCTGCCAAAAGATTAATGGTGTTGTGATATACATATATATATGTGTGTGTGTGATATACATATATACATATGTATAATATATGTGTGATATACATATATATAATATGTGTGTGTGTGTGTGTGTATGTATATGACATGCTTTCAAGCATAATAATATCTTCTGTTTCCCAGAAGAAATATCACATATTTCTGCTTTAAGAGTACTGGCAGGGAGGGGGGTGTTATCATCAAACAAATGAAATATTCATGACACTTTCCTCATCTTCTTTCAGGAAGCTCATGAATAACAAGTTACCTCCAAGTCATAATCTCTGGATTGTACTTATACTATAGTATAAGTGGCATTTGTGAGAAGTTGGGGTATTCTGATAGTATGGCGTCACAAGGCAGCGTGACGCTTCTTCTGTAATGTAGGTTGCATGTGAGAGAAATGAGAGGTAGCTTGGTAGAGTGGGAAGATCTAGATCTAGGCTTGTTTCAGAGCCACAATTTGAACAAGCCCCTTCTCTTACTAAAATGAATAAGAAATCAATTCTCCCACCTCCGAGTCACTGAAATCTGCCATGAACAAACACAAACGCATTTCTGTGCCCAGCTCCATCAATTATCCCATCTACCAGTCCCCACACCCCCCTAACAGCTGTTTTATATGGTAGCAGGACTGTTCATCTGCAGAAATCATTCAGATGTGGGTTTGGCATTGAATTTTTTTCCTACTTTGGTGAAAATGGAGTCCAATGGGGGGAAAAACTATTTACAGTTTAATCTGTGTATAATTTTTTACAAAATAGTTTTACAAAATGTCTTGTGTGTTCAAGACCTTGGTTCAAATTCTACCTCTGTCATTTGCTACCTGTGTGACCCTGGACAAGTCACTTCCCCACCTTGGGCCTTAGTTTCCTGATTGGGTACCAACTTCTGTAGGGAGCAGGAAATAAATTTATGGCCTTTTGTTATTTTCCTTTTGTTTCTGTTGGAGGCAAAGATGCCTATTATCAGTAATAAAATAAATCAAAATTGTTGCAGTCTCTGAAGGTATGTGTAGTATTTCTCCCATTCTTATGCTTTCATGCATTCTAATCAGGTTCTTGAATAATCTGTCCCCTTCCACAAACAGAGCTTGTCTATTGGTTCCCCCTCTGCTTTTTATGTTACACATGCCCTGGGGCTACCCATAGGACGTATTTCTAAACACTGGACCTAACCTGTTACCCCCTATTGTTAGTATCCAGAGCTCTACCCATGTCTGCTGGGAGTGAAGTAAGTATGTCCTCCCTGGTGTGAGCCACTGCAGAGGTGATAAGGAATCCTTGTCAAATTGAATTTATGTGTATACCTTGTCTTCTGACATTGCTCCATCAGCCATTTTCAGCCTGATCCCTGTTATACCAAGTTTTTTCCCCTTTTTATTTTCCCTTTGCCTTGCAGGTTCTCTTCTCTTATCGCTTCTCCCTTCCTGCCAATCCTAGAATCAAATTTAAAGCTCCTTCAATTCATCCTTTTGTTTTGTTTCCTTACTTGGGGTTTCAAGAGAGTCATCTCATAACAAATTTCTACTGCAGAGAGTTAATGATCAGTTTTTCTGTTTCTCTGGGGACTGGGAATTAGAAGTGGATTTTAGCCCTGGTCCTTCCATTGTGTGACTTTGGACAAGTCACCTCCCCTCTCTGGGCCAGAATTTCTTTATCTGCAGTGGTTTATCTGAAGGGGTTAGGCCAGATGATTTCTAAGGTCCCTTTCACTTCTAACATTCTCTGTAAAACCTGATCACATTCCTCCTCAGCTCAGTATCTATCTTCTTGATCTCATTCTGTACAATAGAGCAGAGACTGCAAAGGGTTTGTGATCAGGCAGTCAGAGAGTGAGCAGATGGACTGCATGCCAGCCTTCCCAGACAGCCAATCATGGGACTTGTTTCCAACACAATCACACCTGCCCTTCACTCATTACAGTCCAACTCTGTCCTCACCTATCCCTCTCCCTCTGCTGCACAAGCTTCCAACCTTCCCTCTTCACAGACAGGCATCAGTCTGTTAGAGAAGTTATAACCTAATCTGAGTGCCTATGAGTGTCACTGGAAAAATGCTGAGGCATGCCCCACCAAGATCCTTTTTTAACTGGTAGGAGTACACAGCCAAAAAAATGTGGGGACATGAGTAAACCTTTAGATTGTTTGTAGCCACCATCTCTTATGGTCCTTCGGCTGCTGTGCCTGTGCAGGCCAGTGACCTTAACAGCTTCACACAAAACCAAGGCATTGGTTTTTCCTTAAACTGGAAGGAGGAGGAGTTAGGGGGAAGCAAAACAGCGATTCATGCTCCATGGGTTTAGATTCCTCAGAGCTGTGTTCCATATTTCTAAAACAGCTGCCAAATGATTAAGTACTATCCCAAAGCGTTGCAGCTTCTGGTTCGGGAAGGTGTTGTTTGTTTTTGGTTTTGTCATAATATTGAAGAGGTTAAGGAAAATGTAAGGGATTCTCTAGTCTGTGTTTCTGTGGCTCTGAATGATAGGATATAGTTTTCCTACTCTGATGTTAGGACAGAGACTGTTCTAAAAAGGCAGAGACGTGCATTTGGGGACATGTACAAAGAGTGCCTTTCCTCCCATCCCTCTAACCCCATGCATCATAACACCTGACCACAAAGGTTACAATGATCACAACCAATCTGGAGCAAAAAAATACCTGCTGCTGTCCAGTCTAGTGGTTTTTTGAAGGAAACTTTGCAGGATTTTTTCCCTTTTTTGGGGGGAGGGAGTAGGAGGAGAACAGAGGGAATGCCTAATCTAAGTTACAGCCTAGAAACGCAAACAGAATTGGATACAGCACTACTATTCATTCTCACGGGTCCTCAAGAAATGCAGGTTGATTGATTTTGCTGGTTAAAGGGAAGAAAGATTCCCTTTTTTTACTCTTTCAAGCTTATCTTTATGTTATTATCTTTCACCATGGCCAGAAAGCAAGACTGTAGCCAAAGAATATCCAGCTACCCATAAACTTCAAACACAGAGATATTTTAGAGCAGATAGGGAATAAGCTTCTCTCCCCCACCCGAAGGCCATTCTCTTTTTATCTTCCTTTCTGGCAGATCAAAATAACAACCTATGTTGAAGGAGAAGATTGGGGATAGAAGGGAGTGAGGGGATGGAAAAGGGAACTGATTAATTTTTTCACAGTTATAAAAATCACCATTTTCTTAATATTGTCAGCTACAAATTAAATTCATTACACTCTCTTGATTGTGAAAGAAAATATTTCTTAGATAATTCTTTTCTTTTTAACACTTTGAAGATAGTGCCAAATTTTAGCAATGCTGAAAAAAGAAATCTTAGAAAACCTAAGTGCGCATGTGAAGAGGAAAAACAATGGTACCTTTATTTCAAGATGAAGCTGCTAGGAGTTAATCCTAAAATAAATATGCAATACACTTTTTAAAAAAAGTAGACAGCAAATGTGTTTTACTTAAAAGGACCACTTCCATAAATAATTGATAGAAATGAGAGAGGTGAATTGAAATTACACCAAGAATATTTGTCTTTCAAAGTTAGGACAAGAGACCAACATTACCATGCCAGTCTCTATGGTGTTTGCCTAGCGAGGCGTTGGAAATACAATGCAAAAGCATACGCTGTCGGATTTCTTTTTCCACTCACCCTTTCGCCAATGTTGCTATGCCAACGTCAGTTAACTTCATTCCTACACCTACAGAAAAAGAGAAGAAAGATAGGGCCTGAGATACCATGAGTTTCTCAGAAAGGAAATCAGCAATCCACTACTGATGGGCACTGCTGATGCTTCTAATCACTAGTTATTTCCCTTCCTGTGTAAGGGAGCTCATTTTCCACCCTGGTTTTCTCTGCTTGAGGTTGCTTTTCCTGGGCTGATGACCGTTAGCCTTTCAGAAATGTACTGACTGTAAGTGAATGATAATAAGAGTGCCAGGCCTTTGACACAGCAGTAATGAATTGTAAGCTGCACATCCCGAGAAGGAGAGTGGATTCATGTCTCATGTAAATAAATCACTGTGGCATGAATATCCTGACAACGGAGGGCCTTTCATAGCCCTGAGAAATGGCATTCCATGTCTGAGTCGTCGCTTGTGCAACACTGCCTGTCAGGGGGCTCCTTTGGGTTCTTCCAGTTACATCCAGCTGAATTCGTCTGGGTCTCTTCTATTCTTTTCCCAGGAGCATTCTTCAAGGAGATGTATATGGGGCTCTTTGGCTCTTGCTAAGAGGGCTGAGTCCAATTAAATATTGAAAAGGGAAGCTCTTAGATGCAGAAGATACTGAGAGGAGGAGAGAGCATGACACACAGAAGCAAACCCCAGTAGTGAAGGAAATTAGGGCATTCCCTCAGTCAGATACCAAGCTCCAGCTCTATCAAATGGTGAGAATGGAATGAGTGGAAAATTGCAGAGGAAAGGTGCTCTAATTATACCCCTGTTAAGGGGATGCCTTCCTACCCCTGTACTGCTGTAGTATAGGGAGAAGAGCTCCAGTTCCCCTAAAATTGCTTGAGTGCTACAAGAGCCACAGGAGGGGAGGGAGGTGGCATGTAGCATCTCTCTTTTCTTAATTATTGAGTATAATTTCCCAAATGCCTTTCCTGTGTCTCCTTGACTAGATCAAGCGTGGATGTAGCTTCTATTCTGGACTCTATTCTCAGTTCCTGTATTCTAGCCCACCGTGATCTTCAGCTTAAATCCTGAAAAATCTGCTATTTGACCTTTGGTAAGGATGCAGAGAGCACAAGATGGGACAGCCTCATCAGCAGCCACTCTGCTGGTCCTGCCTGATGGCTTGGGGTCTATCCCGTGCCTACATTTCCGTTCTGGGAGGACAAAGACTGTGAATCCTGGCATTTGATCCTGTTCTAATGGCCATGTTCCTATGGGGAAAGATTTTGTAGATTGTTGGGGCTGTATGATAGTATTTTGGAATCAGTTTAGGAGAGCGATGATGGAGCTAGCTTTCTCTATAACCCTGCTCCTGGGTTTGAGTCAGCAGTATCATTTAAGAGTTGTGAGCCCTGGGGCAAGCCACTTCACATCAAAGAGTCTCAGTTTCCTCATCTCTAAAATGGAGGTAATCATACCTAAATTTCTGACACTTAGACAGTTTTTATGAGAATCAGAAAATAGTGTTACATGGTGGATATTTGGCTTTTTTTTTTGTTTGTTCTGTTTTTGTTTTCCTCAGAGAAAACTCCCTCTATCAAATAAGATTAGCAACTATTTTATCATTGACAACCATAGAGAGGTGCCAGGGGGCACTAGAGAGACTTGTCCAGGGTCCCACAGGCAATATATATATATAGCAAAGGCAAGATTTAATCCTGGGTTATACTGACTCTGAAGCCAGCCTTCTATCCACTATGACCTGTTTTATGGACCAAAATAAAGGAATATATGTGAAAGCAAAGTACTAAATTGCTACAGAGAAAGGGACTGGACCTGTGATTTCCTTAGTATCGGGAACACCCAGATGAGGAAACTCCCTCCATTAATGCAGGTCTCCATTGTCTCTACAGCAGGTAGTTTTAAAGGGTTACCTGGGGCCCCAAGAGGTTCAGTGACTTGCTCAGGGTCACACATCCTGTACGTGTCAGAGATAAAAAATGAAATCAAGGTATTAAGACTCTGAGGCCAACTCTATCCACTACACCCTTTTCTTCCTCTCATAAGTTGCTATTCTAGTTCAATATATTATTATTATTATTATGACACCTATTAGTATTAGGTAATTATTAATCTACAATATTAAAAACAACTCTTGTTCGAGTATGGTTTGGAGTAGACAGCTATTAAGATCCCCTTCCCTCAATTTTAAGATTCTGTGACTCTACCTCTGGTATTCCTCTATCCTCACAACAATCAAAAGCATACTACGTGGCTCTATGGGCCAAGCACAGCATTCAGTGCTGAGGACAGAAAGACAAAAATGAAAGAATCCTTGCTCCTCAAGACCTTCCATTCTATTAGGTAAATATTTATACATATAAAGAAATACAAAATGTATACCAATTTTTGGGGGGGGGGCAAAGGGACAAGGAGATTAGCCTACTTTTATTCCCCTGAACCCCATCAGGCAGGAAGCAGACTGACACCAATGCTTGAAAGCAGCAGGGCCTGTGTGGAGCCCAACAACAGCCTGGGACATTTTTCTTTTCAGTCTGGTCAGTCAAACAGAAGTTCTGAGCCCTGTTTTCTGCTTTGAACCTGAGAGCTAAATTAGAAATGGCACTTTTGTGGAAGGCAATGAGCATTTTTTAAAGTGTTTTCCACCGTCAAGAGCTAATTCATCTCTCTATTCTGACACTGTTAACTACCAAGATACACAGGGAAACACATCATGGGGCTTAGATAACAGGGTCTATTTAAAAAAAATAAAAATAAAAAAACTCTCCTTGAAGATCTTGCTTCATGGAACATGTGAAATGTATTTTAAAATCACAAATCCATTTTCTAGATCTGCTTAAGTTTCTTTTTCCCCTAATCACTTGGCAAAAGGTCCTTGAAACCAGGTTGTCGCTCCCTGCTCTCTTCCCCCATTACCAGATGTGATTGCTAGATTAGAAAAAGAATGAAATGTAATTTTAAAAAAACAAAATAGAAGCAACAAGATAAAGGTTCTCTTTAGCAATGACAGAAATTCAACAAGCATTATCAAAAATCTTTACAGTAAAATATTTTAAATTATCACATGAAGTCATTGGGACAGATTTGACATGGCAGTCATTTCAAAGACCCAGAGCTGGAAGGGACCTCACAAATCATACCACTCACTTTCCTTATTTTACAGATGAGGAAACTGAGGCCCAGGGTGGTAAAGTGACCTGACCAAGGTGATGCAAGTAGTAAGTGGCACCTGAACCCAGGTCCTTGGACTCTAGAGACAATGCTCTTTCTACTGCACACCCCAGTGAAGGGATGGATAGCAGGTAAAGGGATATGCTTGGCCTAGCATACCTTACATACTTACATACTTACAGTTTCCCCAATATTTATATCCTTGACATCTGTTGGTGATAGCATCATGGAACTTTACTAGTGGCACTCATATATGTATATTGTGGCGGGGGAGAGGGGAATTGATTGAGGTAGGGAGCTCCCAGGGGGAAAAAAACTCTGTAATTGAAGATCAGAGTCTGCTCTGCAATTAACAGTCTTAGAAAATGGCCTGAGACAGTGAGAAATTAAATGACTTGCCTAGGGTCATTTTGCTAATATGTGTCTGTCAGAGGCAAGACATCAATTCAGGCCCCTATTCTGGCTCTCTATCCCTTAGGCCACACTGCCTCCCTCATCTACTGCTATTCAAGTTCAATTCCCAGGCTGCATTTCTATGTCTTCCAGTCTACAATGATCAGTAAATCATTAGAAATCTACACTCTTGGAAAAGGTAGTTTCCAAGAGTCAATGAAAATATGATAACAGGCTTAGGAACTAAAAGCATGTGCTCATGTGTAGTTGAAGACACAAGGTATATAATGTTTACAGATCCCTGCAAGGCAAAATTCAAAATCAGAGAAAGCATTATACAATATACTTAGAGACAGCCTAGATCAGGGTTGGGAACCTGCGGCCTTGAGGCCACATGTGGCCTTCTAGGTCTTTGGGTGCAGCCTTTTGACTGAGTCCAAGTTTTTAAGTTTGCATTCAGTCAAAGGGCCTTGATTGAGGACCTAGAGGGCCACATGTGGCCTTGAGGCTGCAGGTTCCCCATCCCTGGCCTAGATGGTGAGTTTTTCCTGGCCTAGAATTGGCCGATGTCCCATAATTTAATGCTTTGTTGACTTTGTATTTACTTATTTTGTACTCCAGCAGAATGTAATTTCCCTGTGGATAGGGTTTGTTTTGGTCTTTTCTCTTTGTATTCAAAGAGTCTATCAGAGGCCTTACATATTTGTTTGTTTGGTTTTTGTGTGGTTTGATTTGGTCTGGTCTGGACTTATGATTTCTTTAGGGCAGTCAACTCCTGGTGAAGAAACTTCCTCTACCAATGCAGGTCTACAAGCGTTCTGTAACTTCTAATCTTTAAGGGTTGTCTGAGTGACTTGTCAAGGGCACACAACTAGTACATGCCAGAGGCAGGATCTGAACCCAGGTCTTCCTGACTCTGAGGCCAATTCTCCATCCACTACACCATGATGCCTTTCACATTACATAGAGTAAGGGTCTTTGCATGTAGTACACACTTAATGTTTGTTGAACTGAAAACAATTGCTTCTTTCCATTTTCCATTCTGTCGGGATGTGCAATGGTTCTTTATTGGAGATCATTCCAACACTACTGACCATTACTCTTGTCTTCTTCCTTCTCTACTCCCAAGTAAAAACTGGCACATGCATCTCAGTCAAAATAGGTTGGTCTCCATAACTTTGCTTAAGAAAAACAAATTTTTAAAAGAAAAAAGCCATAAAGGTTAAGAGATGAAGAGGAAAGAAGTCAGATTTTACAGATCTCCAGCAATGCCCTTTGTTCCCTTATATAAAGTCCAAACTTAAACTCCTTCTAGCTCATAATCCTGGTGATTTGCCCCAGCTGTTTTCAGGGTATACATTGTAAGTGAGTTGCTCTTGACATCCTAGGTCAGTAGTTAACATTTTGGTTTCTAACAGCAGATGTCATGAGCTAGTTGATCCTGACTTATTCATCACAGTACCGTCTATCTTTGTACTTGTATCTTTCACAGCATCAATAACTGGAGCATCTTTGGGACAGAATGATTGTTTTGGCTGCCCTTATGTGTGAGAGCTGCACAGATTGGCTAGTACATGACAGCATCATCTACTCATCACAGCGACAACTGAAGGGGCAGCTAGGTGGTGCAGTGGATAAAGCTCTGGTGTTGGCGTCAGCAGGAGCTTGAGTTCAAATCTGACCTCAGACATTTGACTTACTTACTCAGACACTTACTAGCTGTGTGACCCTGGGTAAGTCACTTAACCTCCATTGCCTCACCAAAAACAAAAAACAAACAAACAAAAACCACCACAATGACAACTAAGATCGGTGTTTCCACCAGGCCTGGCCCAGTTATTTCAGTTGTTAAGATGACTGCTTTGGATTCGTCATCTCTGATCTGATCTTCTGTTGCCCAATTATTGCTACTCTCTGGACGACTCAATTGTGCAAAACAAGGATTCATTATCTGCCATGGACAGATTTCTGGGGGTCCATGAACTCAGTTGGTAAAAAAATTACATCTTTATTTTTACTCATCCCTATCTGAAATTTAGCATTTCCTGATTATTTAAACACATTATTCTGAGAAAGTTTCTGTAGACTGCTAAAGGAGCGGTTAATGACACAAAAAAGTGAAGAACCTTTGGTGTAGAGCCAGTCTCAGTAAGCAGGAAGGAGCATGGGATTGCTTGGAAGATGGATAGAATTATCATGTGCAACTTTGCAGCAAACAGTAAAAAAAAGGCAGATTTCCTGGCAGGGTTGAATAAAGGAACACTCTTACGAAACACCTCACTGGTACGTTAACTGACATATTTCATTTTCTATCTGGAATGTAATGTTACATTATGGCTGTTTATTGCCAATTGCAAAAGAAAAAAAAAACTATGCAGACAGCTCTAGGCTATAGCTTCATATTTAATGCAAAATTAGCACCAAAGACGAAGAGGAGGGGAAGGAACATCAATGATTGCACAACCAGAATCTAATTAGGATGGAAAGCTACCTAGGCTCATAAAGGAAGAGGTTTTTACAGCAGTGATATCTCTCCTGAGAATAAAAGAACCTAACTAACTTCGGTGTACTGGCCCTGTGGGGTCATTGGGAAGACCAAGTATTCCCACCCTTTGGCTGGGGGTGAGGGAGAAAAGAGAAGGGATTCTACATGAAAAAATTACACCTTGGAAGAGGGATGATGAGATCTGGGAGAATCCAGGACAGTGGGAGGCAATGGAACAAACATGAAATGAACTTTACTGGTTAATCTGAGGGGAAATAGGCTTCTTATATGCCAACAGCATCATTCTGGAGTTTTATTAATGCAGCAGAGTAAAAAAAATTCTATAGGTGTACCTCATACCTTGTGTTCCTGAAATGCTATGTATAAACTGAACTATCCTTTAAACGCATTGGGGAAGTTTGATGTTTAAAGGAGTCCTGGTGTGACTACTTTTTTTTTACAAGGAAGCAACCTTTTGTAAAGTACATAATCATTTCCTTAATGATCTTTTTCTAATTCTGATTTTCACATGTAGTATTGGATTTGCTTAAAGAAAGGCTTACTTATGTAGCCATCCTTTGATTAGCTAGGGCTGAGGCTCTTAACCTGGGATCTACTGGGAATAGATTCCCAGGGGGCCATACATTTAGATGGGGAAAATGACATCTTTATTTTTATATGATTGGTTTCCTTGGCAACCCTTTATATTTAATTTCATTCATTTAAGACTATTAGTCTGAGAAGGGGTCCAAAATCTCCACCAGCCTGGTAAAGGGGTTCATGATACACACAAAAACGTTAAGAACCCCTGATCTAGAGTGATAGGTTATTCTATTTAGCAGAAAAAATAACTGTAATTTATTCTATACTTCTTTTTTGCCATATGTTTCAACAAACTTTTTTTTTAAGTTTTAAAAAACAAGATGTGCTTATTTTTAACAGCACCACATAGGTAGATTGGAGCTGCATGACATGATGGAAAAAGAATAAGATTTGAAGTCTGGGGTTCTGAGTTCAAATCCCAGCTCTGCCACTTGCTATGTTTTATGACCCTCTGCACATTACTCAAGCTCCCTGAGCCTCAGTTTTCTCATTTGTAAAATAAGTGGTTTGGACCTGATAACCGCTAAGGCCCCTTCAAACTCAAAACTGAGGTGCTTATGAGCCTGGGTTTTGTCTTCTCTCCCTTCCACCATCCATCTTTTGGTCAAATTCCTTACGACCATAATTTAAACAATAAACAGGTGTCTCCTTCCTCCCTGGAGGAGCGATCTGCTCTGATTAATCAAGAGTGAGCTCTCTTTCTGTGCGCTCACTCCGTCCCCGCCGGCCTCCCGAGGGGCACTTACCTTGCATGTCAGTGACAAGCAGACTGCCACTGGTTTTCTGATACACCCAGTGCTGAAAGGTGCAGCACTTCTGGCCTGCCTCTGAGTCTCTTCTCAGAAAGCTGATCTCCTTCCCGTCCCTGATGGAATACTTGACAAATTCCCCGATCAGCTCCTCCTCCACGGTGGCGTACGGGATGTTATTCTTAGGGCGATGAATGAGAAAGATCGGAATGATCCTGGAGGCACAAGGAGCAGGGTTACCCAGCCAGCCCTCAGACAGGAAAGAAAGGCGAAGCTGTTCATTACTCCAGTCGAAGGCCACCAGGAGCTCAAGAAGCTCGTCTCTAATGGAAGGGGTTGCAGTACTGTACTGAATTACCAGATGAGATGAGGGCTTTGTGCAATCCCATTTTCCTCAGTCAGTCAGTCAATAAACATTTATTACCCTCCGTCCAAAAGTCAGTCTTGGGACAAGATTTAATTTCTTTGGTTGGGATAAAAGAACAATAATAGCTGGCATTTGTACAGCTCTTTAAAGTTGGTAACGTATTTCACGTGCATTTTTCTCATTTGATCCCTGCAACAACCCTATGAAGTAAGTACTGTTGTTATCCCTATTTAACAGATTAGGAAATTGAGGTTCAGAGAGATTAAGTGACTTGCTCCTGGTCAAATAGTTAGCAAGTGTCAGAGCCAAAATTCAAACCTAGTTCTCTGGAATCTAAATCCAGTGTTCTTCTTTACTGCATTAAGTTGACTTTCTAGATGAATTAAATACCCAGAAATCCCCAAAGGATTATGTTAACCTATAGTTTAAAATAGCAGTCCTCAAACTTTTGGTCTCAGAACTCTTTTACTCTCTTGAAAATTACTGAAGACCCCAAAGAGCTTTTTTTTTTTTTAAAGTGTGGTAAAAGTAGCTACAATATTTTCTTAGTATTATTGTTAGGAAAATAGTTTTGACCTCATGCACTTACTGAAAGGGTCTTCTGGACCCACAAGGATCTCTGGATCACACTTTGTGAACCACTGGTTTGAATCATCTTCACCAAACCTTTTCTCAGGCTTGCTTCAAATGACAAAATGGACGCATTCGAATGTTGGCTTCTAGTTCTACCTTTGCCCAATCTGGACAAGAGACGTCAATGGCTGCTTACAAGTGTATCCCATGGCTCTGTCCTAGCTCTCTTCTTTGTTTGCTCTCCACTATCTTACTTTGTGTTTTCATCAGTTCTCTTGAATTTAATTATCATCTCGGTGCAGAAGATGCCCAGATCCTGATGCAACGATCCTGAGCTATTGGCATGCGTTCCTGACTGCCTCATGTACATCTTGAAATGGATGTCCTGTAGGCATCTTAAACTTAATAGGTCCCCCAAAAGAATTCATAATCTTTCTCCCCAAACCCTCCCCTCTTTTGAATTTCCCTATTACTGTCAAGGGCACCGCCATCCTCTCCATGACCCAGGCTGATCAACTCTGAATCCGTATCATCCTTGATTCCTCACTTTTACTCATCCCACATATACAATCCATTTTTAAATCTTCTCATTCCTACCTTTACAGTATCTCTCAGACACATCATTTTCTCTCCACTTACATAACCATACTCCTAGTTCAGGCCCTCATCACCTCTTACTTGTTCTACTGAAACAGACTTCTGACTTATCTCCTAGCTGTAAGTTTCTCTCCACTCCAATCCATCCCCACTCACCTGACAAACGTGAGGGCCAATCGTATCAGCCCTATTCACACACACATATACTCACTGAGCTCCAGTCGCTCACTATTTACCACCAGAAAGAAATATAAAATACTCTATTTAGAACATATAATCCTGAATACATCTTGCACTTCTCCACACACTTTATAATCCAGCAGCATGGGTCCACCTGCAGTCCTTGAACATAATATTCCATTTCTCACTGTCCCCCACGTCTAGAATGCTCTGTCCCTTCACCTCTGCCTCCTGGCTTCCCTTGCTTCCTTTAAAGTGGAGCTCAAGTGATTCCTACTATAGAGGCCTTTCCCAGTCCCCCTAGCTACTAATGCCTTTGTCTTTCAGATTGCCTTCCATCTTCTCTATATGTCCCATAGCTGCCTACTTATTTACATACTGTCTCTCTCAATAGAATGTACGTTCCTGAGGGCAGGGCCTAATTTTCCCCCCTTTCTTGGTATCCCTAGTGCCTAACACAGTGCCTGGCACATAGCAGCAGTTTAATAAATGTTTGCCAACTGATTAACAGGTTACATATTTTTTCTCCATTTCTTCCCACTGTCTATATGTACTTAGATGCTTAGCTCAGGTTGAGACTAATGAGGCCAACATCATGGTAACCATATCCATGTAGATTAATTAACTTGATCCTATTCCATGGTTACAGTCTGCTCCTCCAACTCTGATGAACTCCCTCAAAAATATGTTTTCTTATTCAATAGAGAAACTGAAAAGAGAGAATGTGGAAAAAGAATGCAAAGTATGTTGTGCTTATGGAGGACTAGTAATAACATTTTATAGAATCAGAGAATTTTAGACTTGAAAGGAGTGGTACGCTGATAAATTTCAACAACCAGCTTTCAAAAAAATATATTCAGCACACATTTTTAAAGTTAATCTGCACTACTCCGCATTTTCTCCTTCTCTTTCTTACGTCTAAACAATCAACAAAACAATAAACCAAACTCTTTTTCACTTGGGAAGGATGGTTCATTTTAAATGTGTGGTCATGTCAATGTATCTGTCTTAGATTGTAAGCTTCTACAAGGCAGGAACAAGGTCAATGTCGTTGTTTATTTTTACAACGAGCATACTGTTATTTTATTTGAATAGTCTTTTGATTTCATTGGTATAGTGATCTTACAGAGAGAAAACTCCTTCTGCCAGTGCAGACTGGTACCTACTCTGAAATGTGTAGTTTTATAAAGTTGCCTGGGGGCAAGAGGTTGAGTGACTTGCCCAGGGTCACATAGCCAGTATGTGTCAGAGGCAGGACTCCAACTCAGGTCTTCCTAACTCCTAGGCCAACTCTCTCTTTACTCCCTCTAGTGTCAGTCACATGATGCCTTTTAATAATGCAAGGATAGTAAAGAATAGCAAAATGCCTTTATATGTTCAGCTGAAGAAAGGAAAGAAAAGGAGAAATAAACAGTCTTAAAAAGTTGAAAACCAATTTCTAAAGAGTCAATGTGGAAAGAAATGTGGATCTATTCCTGAATCCAAATTCTGCCTTTTCCACTTACTAATTGTGTAACTTTAGGCAAAACATTTTACCTGTCTAGCACTCATTGTCCTCACCTATAAAACGAATAAGTTGTAATAGATCATCTCTAAGGTCCCTTGGAGCTCTAAATCCACAACAATATGACTATGACACTTAAGAATGCAAGGCTTTCATCTATAGTAATATGAAAAAATGCTTTAAATCACAATTTATTAGAGAAATGCAAATCAAAACAACTCTGAGGTACCACATCACACCTATCAGATTGGCCAACATGACAAAACAGGAAAATGATAAATGTTGGAGAAGATGTGGGAAAACTGGAACACTAACGCATTGTTGGTGGAGTTGTGAAATGCTCCAACCATTTTGGAGAGCAATTTGAAACTATGCTCAAAGGGCTATAAAAATGTGCATAGCCTTTGATCCAGCAATATCACTTCTAGGGCTGTATCATAAAAGAGATCATAAAAATGAGAAAAGGACCCACATGTACAAAAATATGTATAGCAGCTCTTTTTGTGGTGGCAAAGAATTGGAAATTAAGGGAATGCCCATCAATTGAGGAATGGCTGAACAAGTTGTGGTACATGAATGTAATGGAATACTGTTGTGCTATAAGAAATGATGAGCAGGCGGACTTCAGAAAAACCTGGAAAGACTTGTATGGTCTGATGCTGAGTGAAGCGAGCAGAACCAGGAGAATGTTGTACACAGTAACAGCTATGTTGTGCAATGACTATCACTGACTTAGCCCTTCTCAGTAATGCAAGGATCTAAGACATCTCCAAAGGTCTCATGATGGAAAACGCTATCCACATCCAAAGAAAGAACTATGGAGTTTGAATGCAGATAGAAGCATACTATTTGCTATTTTTTTCTTCTGTTTTTGTTTCCTCTCTCTGGTGGTTCCTCCTATTGGTTCTAATTCTTCCTTACACCATCACTAATGTGAAAATATGTTTAATAGGAATGTATACATACAGCCTGTATCAGATTGTGTGCAGTCTTGGGGAGAGAGAGGGAGAAAAATTTAAAACTCAAAAGCTTATGGAAATGATTGTTGATAAATCAAAATAAATTAATAAAAAAATTTTTAAAAGAATGCAAGGCTTTGTAACTTCTGAGAAATTCAGTGTGTGCTTTGCCAAGAATTTCATCATGGCGCTCACTTTCTGCCAAACAATTTGAATGATTCTGCAGGCAGCACTAGTGATGCTCAGGCAGAACTATCTCTTTTCTTCCAGCAGGAATCAGGCCTAGGAAAGCATTTTAAATTCATGTTTTATCAAGTTCTGAATAACTAGTGAGCAACTAGATCAAATGTTCCAGAAATGTGTTTCTACAATCAAAGATGGCAGGGAGTAGTTTGCAGAAAATGGTGATATAAAATGTCAGGAATGAGTGATGGCAGAAATAGTATATGAGGGAAGGAATGAATGAATAAATTGGTGGAATTAATGACAGAGCCCCAAAAAAGTGTCGTATCTACAAATAACAGAAAATAGAATGAGTTGAATGGACAGACAAAAGTGATGATGTTGTTCTCTACAGCTATAATCACATGAATTTGACAAAGCAGTTATCTATTACTGCCCCTCACTCTGTGAAAAGGAATATGGTTGTACTTTCCAAACACTTATTAGAAGGCATGAAAAAGGTGCACCAAATCAGTCAACTATAATTAATACTGTGAAAGGCAACAATGGTATGCTGGAGCCAATTCAAACTGGCTCTTGAGAGCCAATTGTTAAAATTTGATTTATACCTTGAAAAGTTGGCAAATGATACAAACCAGAATTTAATTTTATTGTTCTGTTGATTATCTAGACTTCAGAAAGACTAGGAAAAATGTTGAGAATGCAGATTAAACTCAAAAGTGTATTGTGTCTACATTCCCAGTGCCGCCCCGCCCCCAAGATCTAGTTCTTAAATCTTTACCAGTACAACATGGCAACATGGCTTTAGATGTGGAGTGAGAGAAGGGGTGGAGAGAACAACTTAAAGAGAAA